GAATAGCTCAGTCGGTACAGCGACGGACTAAGGACTAGACAGCCGGAGTTCAATTCCCGACAGAAGTAAGAGACTGATCTTCATAGTGTCCAGACCAGCACTGGGGCGTGAAGATATCACTCGCCTCCACCTAGTGCTGAGGTCATGAATGGTGGAGCAACACCTCCACCTTTCCATACGTCTTCATGATGTGCTGCATAGTTAATTAAGTATAGGAACAACTTTAATTTATACACGCTCGCACACTCCATACTGTAACACAGTGCTTACGTACTACAAACAGGAAACACAATGTCATCATCTTCAATCGCCCCAACTAGTATTAGGCACTAGTGTTCAAAGTAATTGCTCAGTCAATACCTTGAAGACTGACATGGAAACTAGAGTAGCAGCTCCCTTCGAATGAAATACTGCTAGTCACTTGCCGCCAGTAGCGGCTACAGCAGGTCTGTGACTTCACAGCTCTCCTACACTGTGCTTCAGTCCATCGGAATGCCCGCGAAGAACTATGGGAAACTCCCAGTACGCGGTCTTCCGAGCCGCTGCAGCCGCTTAATTCTACAGCCTTCTGTTTATGCATCCACTTTCTTCGCACTTTTCTCTAATCTCGTAGCTTACAGACACTGACAATCCGAAGATCTGTTACTCTTTTCTTCCGTAATTAAGTATCCTTTTGTAGAAACTGCCATAAATTAACAATCGCGGGATATATTGTAGCATGTAAACCCTCTGCTAAGTATAGACTCTGTACACAACGCTCGTTTATAGGCAACAGATACCGAACATGCACAAACAGACTAACTGGGAAGAGATGTTCTCTACGCGGCCCACGAGACAGCTATGAGATGCAACAGAATAACTCTCTGAAGCGGTGTTTTCTGTCCGGTATGTGCCGAGGTGTTATATGAAGGACAAGTCTAGAGTTTAGTTAGTTGGAGGGACAGTTGCCGGCCAGTAAGAGCGTGAACACGGAAGCTGAAGAAACTACTGCGTTGAAAGCCGTTACCAGAAAACAACTGGTGAAGATAAAACAGACTGAAAAGGCTTCATGCATTATGTAGCGAATTGTATAACGCGTGAATTCGCTATATCGCTATAGTTATTTGTAGTTACGTTGTTTAAGAGTTCAATAAATCCAGAAATCAATCCAAACCCCGTCTATAGTCACTCATATACGGGATAACATATTTATCCTTCGTTGCAGTTTCTATATCCCTCAGCATTTCCCACGCCCATTATTTAAATCTGTATAATTCTTTATGTCTCCGGTAGATTTGTAATAAACACTTGTACCTAACGAAATTATAGATATTTCAAATTGACGGGCTAATTATAATTAGCCCGTTGTTCTGCATTGATAATTATCAATGCAGAACAATTCATATAAACTGGAACAACAATAACAAACAGAAAAGAGCTCCTGATGAAATTACGAGAAAAATGAATTCTGGATGTGATAAACATTATGCTCTTCCAACGCTGTTATTTTCCAAAAAGCTAAAGATTGGAACGTAAATTACAAAACAAAAATTTCCCAGGCACTGTGTTCAACCAAAATCTGTGTTTGAGGAATATAAATAAACAGATGTCAGTAAACAAAATGTTCAGAATAATACTTGGACCAAAGATGAACAAAACAAACAAGCAGTTCAGAATATTACATGAAGTGGAACTTCAAGATTCATCAGGACTACTGGTATAATTAGGAGGGTGAAATCCAAGACGTTATCGTGAGCTTGGCATGTGGTTAGGATGGGGGGACACAAGGAAAACATACAAACCTTTTGTAGGAAAATTGGTGGGAGGTTACATTAAGATGAATCTTCTGAGGATCGAAGGGGGATGACTTTAGTATTTGAGGTGCAGAACCTTCGAGTTCTTGTTAGGTGACGGTTCTTATACCGATCTCCTGTAATAACATACTGAAAAAAAACCGTAAGACACTGCTAGCCACCTGCGTTAACGTCAGTGCAATCACTGTAAAGCACCTGATTACATTTATTCTGATGCTGAAGAATGTTACAATTAGTAAAGTTGGCAGCGAGCACAAGTTGAGGCACAATTAGATTAGCCTCGAACAACGTATCGCAGCGGTTCGAGACACGTTTCATATTTAAACTGTCAGAACTGCGAAGCCTATCTCACAGCCAGATAAGGGTCAAACTTTGGTCGAATGATGAGTCCGCTTCTCCGTCACGCACGCGCGTGCGCACAAGCACGCAAGCACTTTCTGTGCAAATTGCGACCGGTGTAGTGATAAAGTGGAAGCTCTCTAACATGACTCAAGAGTCGAACAAGCGGAAAACGTCTATGATGTTGCCACCGAAACTCAGACGAGTGTCTGAGACCCAAACGTTGTGTAATAGAGCTTATACTTCAAAGCTAGCTTAAAATTCTGTATTTAAGCATCCTGTTGCAAGTCATATTAGTACGTCTATATATAACACAGTCCGTCAATACTGCAACAAATTGTTCCTTTTTCTTCCACTTAACGTTGTACACTTTTAACACAACAGGTTTCGGTCTTAGATGGCCATGTTCAGGTATCTTAATATATTAAAACTGCTACACTGCATTAAATTTAATAAAATAAAAGAAAATCCATTAAAATTATAGATTCCAGACGTAATAGAACGACGGGCTCTCGAACATAAAACCAGCTGCTGCAATAAAACACCGGGAGAGAAACACATAGCTCTAAACAGGTGGACGACGCCCCTTGTGAGGTGGAATAGAATTTCACAGAAGTAAAGAAATTTTTAATTTATTTTATTATATTTTATTACAATAAGTGGACTACAACGTGTGTTTTTAGCGCACATTAATTCAGTGTAGCAGTTTTAATATATTAAGACACCTGAAGATGGTCATCCAGGACCGAAACATGTTGTGTTAAAAGTGTTAAAGGTGCAAGTGGAAGAAAAAGGAACAATCTGTTGCATTATTGACGGACTGTGTTATATACAGACGTGGCTTAAAATCTTTACAGCGAAAGTACTACTGAAGTGTGCGGAGCTCTGGTGCTTGTTTCCAGCTGTCAACAAATTCCTTTCAAATATCCTCGAAGGAATTAAAAAGGTAACAAAAATAAAAGTGTATTTTTGGCTGGACTGGATTTCTGTAACAGTTCCTAAAAAATTATGTCATGTGTCTTCAATGTTTAGGCTATATTAGGGGGTCCTCCGTGTTTGAGAATTACTGGGTTTGCTGCCTCTGTATTTGAAAATATATTTCCTGCGTCAGTGGAGAGAGTTCTCAGTATCGAAGTAATAGAATGTTATCATACAGGGCAACGTCTGTTTACATATTTCAAAGCGAGTTTTTATTTTAATAATATTATTAAATGTACACGTACAAAATGAGTTGTATGTGTAGTTTCCAAATTGTACAGGGTATCATATCGTACTCCGAGGAAGCTTTATAAAAAAAGTTTTTTCTTGCTAATATGGGTCGTTTAAACCCTTCTTGAATTACTCGATCATCACACAGGATATAATATTAGCGTAAACTGTAGTCTAAGTGTTTGTTGTGCCCAAATTGAATCACGCTGTGGTAAACAAACCCCGTACGAGAACAAAAGCTATAGCCCACACTATGTGTAAACGGTTTACCAGAATGGCTGAATTTGTGTACGAAACCGTACCTCGATAACAGGAAGGATAAGTGAACATCTCTGCATAACAATCAAGCAATCCGAACCAAACTCACTCAGCATACAACAATTTTTTTTTTTACTTTTCTACATTATTGCCGTCTTTACACAACCGGTGTTTGTAAACAAGTTCTTTACACATCATATACAACACTTGTAACCTTTGGTTATATGTTTCGACCATGATTTGGTCACATTCGTATGTATTCTGTGAGATTACCACTGTGGAATTTCCCAAGTGACCAGATTTTGTGTGTTCTTGTTGCAGGAAGGGAAATATTGTGACATGAAACCCGAAAACCAGAATAGCGAAGTCAGAATAGACGTTCACTTCTAGACGACTGGGCAACGAATGCACAAGCAATTGAATAACTTCCTTTGTTATGCAGCTGCGCTGCAAACGCGCCTTCTCAACAATAAAGAAGTTGTGTTTTCTGCTGGGTCGGCACAAAGTGGTTATAAAGAGTTCAAAGCTGGCGGCAGCAGCATAGAATAGAGTCCAGTTCTGAGACGCCAGCCTGCCAGGATATGAGCTTGGAAGCAGAGGAATTCAGTTGAGTCTTCGGAATTGGCAAGAAGGGAATTAGGCTGTGAAAAGATGACTTCATATGTGGTTTGAAGTGACAGTGAGACTGTTATGAATCCGTTTCCAGGATACGACTGATGAAGACCTAGAACCTTAGTGCGTGTGTAACGGTGAGCTATAGTGTGTGGAAATAGTTATAGAGCTGTAATTGTTTGTGGCTCCGAGTTGTGTATATAATGTGTCAATATATCCAATCATCCAATCCAAAACTCGTCACGCACAACCCCCCAAATCGTGACAGTACATACACACTTGTACCTATTACCTTGCAAAGTTACCGGCCACTCAAATTACAGTATCTGGAATCTGTATTACCAGCTCTTGCGCCCATGTATTTAACCAAAAGGAGGGGTGAATATAGGTACATTCAGGTCATTTGAGAACAGGATGCTGAAGAGAATATCTGGACCCAAGGGGAATGATGTAACAGAAGGCTGTAAAAACATAATGATGAACCTCATAACCCGCAGTTTTTACTAGACAGTATCAAGTTCCTGAAGTTAAAGGGAATGGAATGGACATAGCGAGAGAGATGAGAAATTTATACAACACCTTAGCCTTAAAACCCGAAGGAAATAAGTTACACGGGAAATCAACATGTAGATGGAAGAATGATGTTAAAAGAGATCTTAAACAAAAAGCGCGAGACAGTGCTAACTGAATTCATCTAGTTCAAAATAGGATCCAGTGGCGGGTTCTTGTGAACGTGGAAAGGAACCACAAGGTTCCATAGAGGGCAGATAATTTTTTCACCCTCTGAAGTCCTTCTCAGGGACTCTGGTCAGACGTGTTCGATTGTNGTGGTGGTGGTGGTGGTGGTGGTGGTGGTCGTGGTGGCGACGGTGGTGGCGGCGGCGGTGGTGGCGGCGGTGGTGGTGGTGGCGACGGTGGTGGTCGTGGTGGTGGTCGCGGCGGCGGCGGTGGCGGCTGCTACTACAGTAATGGCGTGGCATCTGTTACCGATGTTGTCCTTGATGTATACTTTCATTTTCACTTCTCAACCAGAAATAAACGGCTTTAGTGCAAGCTGTTCTGAGCAGAGAACACGGAAATTAAAGAAAGCGAACACTTTACCTTGTCTTGGGCACATTTCTCCCCATTTATTTTGCCTTCTTCTTCCCTCGTCACATACCTAGATCGTGTCTCGTGCTATAACCCACTTTATTCCACCATCACTCACACTTTCTGTCTTTCTCTTCACGGTGGTTTTTATTTTTCGTCTCCCTCCCCTTCTTTTTTTCTCGCTCCATTTTCTCGACCCAGCATTTGCTACCGAAAACGAGCAACTAATACCCTCTCTGTCCTAACCCTTGTTCAGCGGGCCGCTCTCCTTCAACTGCAAACCGTCACCAGCTGACACTAATGTGATATTTATGACTCCTTTGTCGCCCAACCCAAGCAAGGAGTGTTAGAAAAGTAACAGCATTGTTGTGGTAGTTGTGACAATCAGACGCCCCTCATAATCAGTTCAGTCGCTCGTTAGGAAAGCGTTCAAGAGGACGACACACTTTTAAGGGTCACAGTGATTTCAGAGACCGACTGACCATGAGGCAACTCCATTGACTTTAATAAATGAAAAACGTGCTTTGGTCTTTCAAGCGGAGAACTGGGAATAATGAGAGAAAGGAAATGATCCCCAGGCGATAAACTCCCGTTCGTACAAAATGAAAGTTAAAAGCTCCAGGAATAAAACGAACCAACGAGATGCGTCTTTATTTATTTTGAACGAACCGTTTCGAAAAAAGATTTTGTGTAATGCCTACTTTCAATGCAGGAGCCGGGATAACTCAGTCGGTATAGCGACTACGCATGAGCTGGACGGTTGGGGTTTAATTCGTGGCAGAGGCAAGATATTTTTCTCTTCCCCACAGCATTTAGACCAACTGTGGGGCCCACAAAACCTTTTATCCAGTGGGTATAGGGAGCTCTTTTCCTAGAGCCAAAGCAGCTGGGACGTGAAGCTGATTGCTCATCGCCACCTAGCTATGAAGCCTAGAATTGTAGAGCTATACCTCCACTCGCAGCCGGTCACGGTAGCCGAGCGGTCTAAGGCATGCACTGTCTTCGCTCGCTTGGAAGACGGGACCTTGGGTTCTAATCTCACTCAAGGTTTGATGTTTAGTGTTTGTGTGTATATGTGTTTTTGCCTGTGTTTGTGTATAGGTAGAGGCCTTGCGACGAGCTGATCACCCGCCCAATGAGTCCTACCAAATGTCTAAGATCTAGTAAACCGAAGTGAAGCGGAGAGTTTCATTGAGGTAGGCCAAGACCCAAATTGTGGCTGCAGAGCTAAATAAAAATAAAATACGTCTATGTATACACAGTCCGTCAATAATGCAACAACTGTTTATTCACCATTTAACACTTAACACAGACGTTTAATTAAAGATTTGCAACAGGACGCTGAAATACAGAATAAAAAAAATACATTCACCCCCCCCTTGCGCCCTCAGGGCGCGGCGCTTAATTAATTATGAACAAAGGAACAGACAACTTTGGCCGTTACCTTTACCTGTTTTCCCGAATAAATTATAAACATNTAAGATTTGAGGCTTTCACGGCGGTGACTATGAAGAAAGCAGTCTTCTGGGATTTGGCACCGTGTATATGTGGTGTTAACCGACGTTTCGGAGGAACGTATCGCCTCCATCTTCAGGGTAGAAGAACAAATATATGAGAAATCTGCACAGCTATGTGAGGTCACTGCTCTCACATAGCTGTGTATTTTTCCACAGTCTGCTTTTACCGGTTCTCACGGTCTCTTTTCTTGCAGATTTCTTATATATTTGTTCTTCTACCCTGAAGATGGAGGCGATACGTTCCTCCGAAACGTCGGTTAACACCACATATACACGGTGCCAAATCCCAGAAGACTGCTTTCTTCATAGTCACCGCCGTGAAAGCCTCAAATCTTACAAGAACTATACAGCTTACTGTGACGTGGAAGTACCTGGAATTGAAGTAGGTCCACGAAACACTAGCACACCTCACTCCCTGGTAGTCCGCCTATATTAAGCTGGATTTACTTCGGACACTCCAAGAGGCACAGTGATCTGATTTTACTCAGATTCTCCCAGAGAGTCCCCTCCGAGATCAGGTGCAAAGGAGCTGAGTTGGCGATATGACAGGAACTTTATATGGTTCAGTATCGCTATAAACAAATATCCTGTGTACAAGCAGACATGAACACCACTGCGTGCGGAAGTTGTTAATATCGACGACTTTCTCTGACTTAATTCTCAATTTCCTTCTCGAAATCACACTGACCCCCCACCCCCGGAAAATATTATAACTACATTGTTCAATCTGGCTCCAATCAGAATCTGCCACATGCCGTCAAAGTTCATTGTATAGCGACGGAGTTTGCGAACGTTCCCAATCCACTCGTCCATAGATCAGTGTAACACGTCAGGCGGTCATAAAATCCTTGATTGGGCACCGGTGTTCGGCCCAGCGCCATGCTAGCGTCTCCCCTCTCAGAGCAGTTCATTAAGTTGTTTCGAAGATTCACTGATTAACTGTAAAGGGCAAAAGGCCCCCAGCCAAGTGTGTTCATTATTCCTAAAACCTGCCCTTCTGCGCTGACTGGCTTATCAGAATGTGGCGTGATCTCATCTACATTTTGCACCACTTCCAGAAGTTGCTATGTGCTCAGTTGGTTAACAAAGCTCCCGCAATTATGAACACCTGAAGTTCATTCTTCATGACCGTGTTCATAGCAGCCAATTCTCGGCCTCATTCACACCTTGACATCCAGATTCTCAAATATCCACTAGAATATTATTCTCCCATTTAAGTTATGCATTGCTAGTGGTTCACTGATTAGTATGAAGATAATTATGTATTACCGTTATTTCCGTGTGCTTACTAAATACTCTGCATATATAAACCGTTCACGTTTAATTAACTTAACAGTATTAGGCGTGTAATCTGTATCATGAAGCTCATAACTGAAGAATTCCGTCTTCTGTGAACCGATGTTTCTGAGGTATATATCGCCTCCATCTTCAGGGTACAAAAATCCGCGAGCGAGGAACCAGCGTGAGCAGGTGGCCATAGACTGAGCCACCAGTGTAGATCAGCGACAGCGCTGTAATTGCCTGTAGTTCAGAGTGGTAACTATAAGGTGCATAAATCCAGTAATTCAATAAAAACCCCATGTTTTAAGTCACGCGCAAATCAACTCAAAGGCCCGACAATACAGTAATTACAATCATAGGAGATCCTAATTAATTAGCGATAAAATGATAAATCATTATATACTTTGAAAACAAATTTTATCATTCCTGTTTTAGTTTAAAAGTCAATGGATTGTCTCACTGAAAATCCTTGTGGCCTATTCAACATGCTATCAACCACACAGATATTTACACGGCTTTGAAACACGAACCTTCGAATTGCATATAGAAAATTTAATACACGTTCCCGGTAACGTAGCATGTTATTTTATATATAAGTCTATTTTATGAGAAGACTTGACAATTCTTTTCAAATTATGTACAATAATTACAAATATCTTCAACTAATTATTTTTGTATTACTATGCATGCATCCCTGCCGGCCACGGTAGCCGAGAGGTCTAAGGCATACACTGTCTTCGCTCGCTCGGAAGCCGGGATCGTGGGTTCGAATCCCACTCAGGGCATGGATGTTTGTGTGCGTTTTTCTGTGTTTGTGTATAGGTAGAGGCCTTGCGACGAGCTGATCACTCGCCCAAGGAGTCCTACCGTATGTGTAAGATCTAGAAAAACCGAAGTGAACGGAGAAGTTCATGGAAGTAGGCCTAGGCCCACTGGGGCTGTAGTGCCAAGGAAAAAAAAAATTGTATGCATCCCTAAAGATGACACTGCAAATGTCAAAATATAAAAATGTACAAGGATAATGATGAACTTAAACTGACAATACACAACATTATGGATTAGAAAGCTGCGCAACTCAACACGTAAATATCACCTTTTAATACAAGTTTCCGGTTGGTGAACAGCGGACTGCGGAAGCTGATGCGACTGGGTACGCCACTACATGACACACTCCGTTGTAGAACGGAAAACGAACAGGGATCTTCAATGTTGGGACAGAGAGAGCACATGTGATGAGGATAAATGTCGTGCAGCAGAATCACCAGCTGCGCGGATCATGGCAAAGGCACAGCATGGTGCTTCGGCATGGAAGATGATTTTCATAAAGACTCCCTCCTATTTTCCGTTTACTCACTAGTGCTTCTTGCTGGGGGGTGGGAAGCTTTTAAGGTTTCTAATGTCGTCCCTATTAAGAGAAACAGCCCGATGTAGAGGATGCATTAATAACGATATCTGAGTCCTTCTTGAGAAGCTTCCAGTTGCTCAGCTACTAAAGAATTTCCCATAAGGAACGAGAAGGTTCATTTCCATGTCCATAAAAGTCCTCCACGCGTTCTCATCCTGAGCCAGATAAATCTAATCCATACCATCCGATCCTATTCCTCTAAGATTCATTTTAATATTATCAAGTGTCTGGCGTTCCGTGACTAATAATAAAGGGTTCTGGATTGGATGATTGGATTTATTGGCACTTCTATTGAAATCACTCTTAGTTACAATCACGACAGCTCACAATCAACGACTTTGTAAGACTGGCTCAATTCCTCACTGGACTAAGAGCGTTTTCTCTTCTGCCACGACTGACTTTGTTCCGCTTTACGAATCGGTCACTTCTTCGATGCCTCTCTTAGACTGAACTCGCGAATCAATTACTTGTCCCCCTTTTACAACTCGGGGCGAACTGAATAGAGATTCCCATCGCGAACAGTTAATCTATTGTTCGATGTCTATCCGTTCCGCAGATATGAGCTTTACAGAACCGTTTTCTATCAATGGAGTATTCCGGCTTTCAGGAGACATGACACAATATCACCCTCTTATCTACATCTAGATCTTCCTAGCAGTTTCTTTCTCTCTGGCTTTCCAACCAAATTCATATACTCATATGCATGAGTGCTCATGTCCTGTCCATTTCATTTTTCCTTGGTGAGATCATTCTAAT